CCTAAATAGCGAGCGCTCAGCACTGCCGCCTAAATAGCGAGCGCTCAGCACTGCCGCCAAAACGGCGCTAAGTAGTGCCGCCTACGATTTCCAATTCTCATGTTGGAAAGCTTCATAGGTTCATATCCAATATCTCTGGTTGGGATAAACATAAGCCCACAGCAGAAGGAAAAAAAAAAGGAAAAAAACAGAAAGAAAAAAAGGAAAAGAAACGACAGCGTGTCTAAGGGACAAACAGATCGCCGACGCAAGAGCCGGACCACGTGTCGCGCAATCAGAGGGAGAATCGGGAAAGCTGACGGAGCGTCGCGCGAGCAACAGCATGTCGCACAAGCAAATATGGACACGGCACGCCGCGAAGCAGACAACACCGTGTCGCACACGAAGCCGACAAACATCCAACAAAAAGTGCCGCACACCAAACCGTCCATGTCGCACAAGGACGCAACATGTCTACCCACGGCCATGTGAATGTTCCGCACTCACAGACAGCGTGCCGCGCAAGCGTACGCAGTCACACGAACATACAGCAATCCCATGAGCGGGCAGTGTGCAGCAAAAGCAAAGAGCATCATGCTCCACGGTAGTACCAAGGAGAATTCAGAGATCCCGTAGGCCGCACAAAAACAGGTAAAGACAGAGAAAGATCAGATTGGATGCGACGACGCGGCGACAAATGTATGCTTGCTGACACGTGGGTCGCGAAATCCTGTGATGTAGATGACTGATGATTGTAAGTGACAACACATGATTCTAATGAAATTTTAATACCAGAGGCCGCGTAAGCAGTACGATCGACCGACACTTGCCACAGAGAAAACAAATGCAAGGCAGCACGCGTTCAGCCATCGGGCCAGAACAGCCCCCACAGAAACCCTCAACACCATTTCTTCCAAAATAGCAAGGAACGGTTGTATAAATATTACGTAAAACCCCACCATTACCAACAAACACGATGCACTCATCATTCTCGTCATCAATCTCATCATGATCCTCGTCAACATCGGAGGCAACACCTTCGACAGCGTCATCGACATAGCGATCATGTCCTATCATCGCCGTCGTCATAACCTCGCAGTCATCATCATCAGAACCACATGAATCATCGTCACTCCCACTCATCATCGTCGTCATCATCATCAGCATCAGCATCGTCACCGATATCACTTTCGCAGTCATCATCCTCATCATCATCATCGCGGTCATCACTCTCGCAGTCACCATCATTATCATCATCGTCCCTCGCGATCATCGTCGTCATCATCGTCGCTGCCATCACTCTCGCATTCGCCATCATCAATACCATCTCTCGCAGTAAGCATCATCATCACCATCATTTCTCGCGGTCATAATGATCATCATCATCATCATCATCGCCATCACTCTCGCAATCACCGTCATCATCATCATCATCATCATCGCCGCCATCATCATCATCATCATCATCATCATCATCATCATCATCTCTCGCAGTCACCATCATCATCATCATCATCTCTCGCGGTCATCATCATCATCATCATCTCTCGCGGTCATCATCATCATCATCATCATCATCTCTCGCGGTCATCATCATCATCATCATCATCATCATTATCCCTCGCGGTCATCATCATCATCATCATCGTCATCACCGCCATCACTCTCCCAGTCATCATCATCATCGTCTCTCGCGGTCATCCTCGTCATCAACATCATCATCGCCGCCATCACTCTCGCAGTCACCATCACCATCACCATCACTCTCGCATTCATCGTTATGATCATCGTCGCCGTCGTCATAAACTCGTCATCGTCAGTAAACAGCATTCCTCCCAACGACCACATCGTCAATATCCTCCCCACATTTAGTCGTCATTGTTTTCCTAACCTTGAGTCAGCCAAATAACACTTCTCCACATCCTAATCAGCATCATGATCTCCAGCATCTTCCAGTTCTCCTTTGCTAACATCCTTCTCAGCATCATTGCTCCCGTAGCATACTCGTTCTCGAATACTCCACTCGTCATCGTTGTTTTAAGAGTCCTCGTGTTTTCAACCACCAGAAGAACCATTTGAATGACCAACGCACACAGCTGACCATGTTGGAGGGCTTAAATGGCCAGCAATCGGT